AGAATCTTTTTTGGCAGGGGGAAACACTAACAAAGCATCCAGAAATGGGAGAACCATTGAAATGAAAAACTCAATGACGCATTTAACAGCTGAGTAGACTCAGCCAAAGAGAAAACTTTAACCCACCAGTGGCTCGGTGGGAAGAGGATGCAGCCATCTGCTTCCGTAAAGATTGCAGCCTTGGAAACCCCATGGGGAAAATTCTACTATAAAGTCACTATCGGGTCACTATGAGTTGGAATCAACTTGAAGGCAACTCATTTAGTTTTTTGGAAAGAGAGAATTATTATTGCTGTTAGGTGCCGGCAAGCCGGCTCCGACTCACAGCGACCCTGTGTACAACAGAACGAAACACTGCCCAGTCATGTGCTGTCCTCATGATCCTTGCTACACCTGAGCGCATCGTTGCAGCCGCTGTGTCAGTCCATCTCATTGAGGGTCTTCCCCTTTTTCGCTGGCCCTTCACTTTACCAAGCATGATATCCTTCTCCAGGGAACCCATTCATAGTATGGGGAAAAAGTAATCAGATAGAAAATATGAAAAAAGTAGTTAAAGGCATGATGGAAATAATGAGATAATTTATATATATCTAATAAGAGTTCCTGAAACAGATCAAGGAAGCAGGAAAAAGATAATGTTCCAATATACAATGGTTGAGAATTTTCCAAAATGGAAGAAAGACGCAAGTCCTCAGGTTGAAGAAATAAACAAGGTGTGAGCTCACACACCGGGGTGAAACTGCAGAATTATGGAGGAAAAGAAACTCTTAAGAGCAATCAGAAAGAAAAGCCTGTTTATATTGGCAACTGACTTCTTATTAACAGAAAAAAAAAGAAAAAAGAATGTCTTCAAAAGGCCAGTGGAAGATAACTGTAAACCAAGAACTCTATGTATACTAAATTATTATTTCAAGAGTATGAAATAAAAACATTTTAAGAAAAAGACTGAGAATGTAGTCAAAGACTTTCACTGAAATGCCACCAAAGGATATACTTCATAAGAAGGAAACAGAGCCAAAAAAGAAGAACTGAAAGCAAGAAGAAATACTAAGCAGAAAAATTAGAAATATATTGGTAAATCTAAGCACATGTCATTGACTGTAAAGACAACAACAACAACGATGAGTCATGGGAGTTAGAAACAAGATGAAACTCAAATATAGGAAAGAAATGTGGAGATTGTGGGGAAAGATCAGTGTTACTGTGTTCTAAGATCTTTACGTTATTCAGAAAGGTGATGGTGACATTGATTCACTTAGACTTAAGTCAAGTAAGAATGTAAAAAATATATATATATGAAGAGGTAGAAACAGAATATGTAATCCCAAACAATGGGGGTCAGGGAATAAAACAGAGATAAAACCACTGTTTCAAACCAACTGATAGCAACCCTATAGGACAGAGTAGAATTGCCCCACACGTCTTCTAAGGCTGTAATTTTAGGGACACAGATGCTACATCTTTCTCTCTCAGAACTGCTGGTGGATCCCAATCACCGACCTTTGGGTTAGGAGCCAAATGCTTTACCCACTGCTCCACCAGGGCTGCTGAGAAATAAGGGTAAGTGGGGATAAATGGCTGCTGCATCAGTCCTCAGGGAGGATGATCTGCTGGGCTGGGATTAGGAGCGAGGCTAAATCCTGATTTCAGTGATCACAAGGATTAATTCAGATCATCCCCCACCACACACACAGCTGGCTAACTGTCCTGGCTAATGACCTGGCCTTTCAGAGAGGTAACCCTGAACCACACCTCACTCCACCCCCACACCTGCTAAGCCCTTTACTCCTGTGTGAATCCCACCTCCACCCGCCACCTGGTACTGGTTTGGCCAGGATTTGCCCACGTTTGGATTTTGAGAATAGACTGGTTCAGGTCTCCTCCAAATGATCACCAAATTAGGGTGAATGATGACCTGCACCCCAGGACCAAGTGAGAGATTCATCCTGATACTCAGGATCAGAGCTCCCCAAGGAAAGCCTGGGTCCCCGGATGTCACAGTTAACAACAGCCTCTCCATTCCTCCCACTATCAGTCAGGAGGTCAGCAGTCAAGGCCAACTGCTAACCGAACCCTGCAGGCTGAGCCAGAACCAGAAGGAGCTGGGCCAAAGCAGAACAAATGCTGGGTTCCAGCACTGAGCTCCGTATGCCCCAGGTCCTCTACGCCTGCCCACTGTCAGCTCCTTTCCCCCACCCTGACGAGTGCCCTGCTCCCCAAGTCCCGCCCGACAGGCCTGATGTCTGCAAAGACCCTCTCAAAGGGGCTGGGTGGCCTTGCTCAACAGCCTTTCCCTAAGACTGGATCACCTTGGTCACAGGCTCTGTCCTCTGGGGAGCAGGTCAAGTAACTTTGATCTCTCTCATCATCTCTCAGATCACCAGGCTACAGGGAGGGGAGGAACAGACAGAAGTGTTAACAGGTAACATTTAATTTCACGTATGAAATCATATCTTAAACGATAAGTTAATATTGTATGGTTGGCAGAGCCACTTTTATCCTATAGGTTAGGCATCCTGTCCGGTGCTGCAGATGCAAAGATGATGGAGACACTTCTGTTAACTTCAAGAACCTGGGCAGACAGAAAGGTAAAAACCTGGTCCTGACAACTCAAGAGTCACTGGTGCTGTGACACAGGAAAGACTGTGGGAAGACACATAGGGGCATCTATGGGGTTGGGGTGGACATTAAGGAAGCTGCCTAGAAGTGACTCTGGAATTGAGCATTGAAGGGTAAGTAGAAGGTGTCCGGTGAAGGGCTTTTCACGTAGAACAGCATGGTGGAGGGTTATGAAGCCAGGAATCAGCAGAGATGAACACAGACAATATATGCTCATGACCTTATGAGTGGATATGCAAGAGAAGGAACTGGTGTGTATCACAAAGCTTAAGAATTTCCCAGCAATTTTCTGGATGTGTTGGGAAGGCCCGGTTCCCAAGTTGTTATGGGTTAAATTGTGTCATCTGAAGTAATATGTTGAAGTCCTAACCCCTGTATCTGTGAATGTAACCCTGTTTGGAGATGAGGTCTTTGAAGATGTTATCAGTTAGGTTAACATGAAACCATACTGGAGTAGGGTGGGCTCAAATCCACTCTGACTTATAAGAGAAGGTATGTAGAGACAGGGAGATGTGTGACCCTGCAGCTGCAAGCCAAGGGAATCCTGGAGCTACCAGAAGCTAGGAGAGAGGCCTGGAACAGATTCCCTCTGAAGCTGCAGAAAGACTCAACACTGCCAACACCCTGGTCTCAGATTCCCAGGCTCCAGAACTCGGAGACAATGACTACATGCTCTTCTAAGCCACCTAATTTGTGGCATTTGGTTATGGCAGCCCCGGAAAACTAATGCACAAGTGTCCCCCCACTTCTTTCTGGCTGAAACCTGCAGAGATGAAGACAAATGCCTAGTCAAGATACAGCAGCACATGAGGATATTCTCTGAATGACTAAGTGAAGTAAGCTCTGTGGGCTTCCAACTGTCCCTTCTGCAAGAGTGACAAAGCGGCGCCCACTGGATGACCGGCCAGGGGGCAAGGCAGGGCGGGGTAGAGGGGAGGTCCTCAAGGCGTCGCACGCTGCGTGGGGTCATGAAGGGCTCTCTCCTAACTGGGCCTCTGGCTCGGGCTTGTTAGGAGAGAGAGCAAAGCACAGAGGGCCAGGGTCCCGGGGCAGTTCCATATCCCAGGCCGTGGCTTCCTTCCTCCCGCCCCGATGGCGCTCAGGGGTCGACAGGCCACCACACTACTTTGGGGAGCCACAGGCCCAGGTCCGCGCTGACTTTGGGATGGGGGCGCCAGCACTGCGGGTGAGACGGGAATGTCCTGTCTGAGCGCGTCCTTTTCCTCCCTATCACTGCGCGCCTGGCGCGCCTGACACCTGGCGCAGCGAAGTGCCCGTGCGCCGCCGACTCCGGGCAGGACCCGCCGCCAGGACCAGGGAGTCCTGCCGCGCCCTCTCCGGGCAGCTTCAAGCTGCGAGTAGCTCCCGCGGGCGATGCGTCTGGCCGCTCCCGCTCCCCTCGGCGCCGGCACGGGACCCGCACCCGGCGGGCCGGGGGTCGCTCCACCCTCCGCGCG